ATGGCGACCAGGCAAGGACTTCATTGAGCGCTTTAGTGACCAGGTGCCTTTTTTCAGTAAACAAAGCCATCGAAGCCATCGGAACATAGATCGACATTTCTGGTTTGCTGGCCGTCAATATTTACTCATACTCGTCTAGAATAGACTTCAGATATGTGCCCTGCGTAACCCTGTCACTGCCAAGGAATGCAAATGTCTGACCTTTGTTTGCAAAAATCGTTCATCCCCCTTTGTCATTCCACCATTCGCCGAAGACTTAATTGAGTGCTTTTGTGACCAGGTGCCTTTTTTCCCTAAAGAAAGCCATCGAAGAAAAATTCAACGGTGTGTAATTTCATACACCTTACTCAGACAGTTGGCGGTCATTTCGTTGTAGTATGCCATCTGTATATGAAATAAGGGCAACGGTATAAAGAAGGACCCCACTTAACTGTCAGTAGACAGTGAGTCGTGCCATACGTGATTTATGGTAAAGGGGGTTTTATGGTTAGGACAGCACGCTAGATGGTAATTTGACAAAACGAAAGAAAACGCAGAAATTGCCTGGATTTATGCCGAAAACCTTATCCTACGCTATTATATGACAACGGAAACGAGAGTTTTAATTAAACAATAAACGAAAAGTAAATTTCACAAGATAAAGGATTTCGAGTTAAGGTGTGAAGTCGTGGGAAGTAATCGTTGTTGGCAGTGTAATTTCTGCAACAGCCTGCAAATGTATGCCAAAATAAAACCCCATATAACAAAATCAACAGTCTACTGACAGTTAAGTGGGGCCCTTCTCTATACCGTTGCCGAAAAAAGCTTCGAGCGCCTGTTGGTGATGACAACTCAAACAGTGGTGGTGTCGGCGGCGGCGGTGGTGGCGGTGAGCTGAACTAAACAAATTCAACTGCGCGCCCTGTGTGCGAGTCCAGGCTGCGCATGTCCGCAGCGTCCCCTGTTATGGCGATCCCCGAAGCCTCCGTCGATGAAAATTTGATGATCATGACGATGATGATGATTGTGGAGGTGGTGCCAGTGTGGTGGTGGTGGTGGTGGTGGTGGTGGTGGTGGTGGTGGTGCCAGTGGTGGTGGTGGTTGTGGTCTGAACTAGAAAATCCAACTGAGCGCCGCCTGTGCAAGTCCAGGATGTGCATATCCAACAGCGCATCCTCGTTATGGCGACCAGGCAGTTATTCGCGCAAAACATTCCAGCCGCGACAAAAGTCCACTCACAGCTGCAGGGTGTTGACATCGGGGCGGTGACTTGCGCGGACTTTATAGTGATACAGACTTCCGCTGAATCTTCTGCAATCCCTCTCACTTCACGCATCTTACTCCGGCCAGGGAGTATCAAAACAGCCGGAGGTGAGCGGGGTCATCGTGACTGCCAGTGTTAAACAGCCCATCTTCGCCTGCCCCACGCACGACCTGGTCCTACCTGCCTACAGTGGGCTCCCGTAAGCGTCTCTTACTTGACCGCTGTGGGTGCAATTTGGGCCTAATGGCAGTGAGTCTTCCCGAGAAGGCCACACCCAGAGGGAGCCATTGCGGCCTGACAACTGCTCTGATTTGCCGTGAGGATGAATTCCCCAGCGTCCACCTCCCTCTCTCCCATACACAATTGATCTGTCGGAGCTTGTGAACCAACTGGTGATTGGACAGGAGGCAGTGGTTGACGCGGCTTGTGGACCAAATGTACAGCTGTAGTTGTGGGTTCGCACGGACTCTGCACAGTCCGATTTATGCGCGCCGTCAAGCAGTCTGACTCCCAATTTTGGTTTAACACATCTACAACATCGTAGCGATGTTGGTCGACCTGTCCTGATTGCAGATCGGAATATGGAGCGTTTGTATTACTCCTTTGAGCTCCAGGTCTTAGCCCGAACCTTCAGTGCGTGAACAGCCGAATTCTGAGTTTGACCGGCTGGTCTCGACAGATTAGCCACTTTGACCTGTTTGCATATAAACGCATTCCAAGGAGACACTGATCTTTTGTAGCCTAAGACGAATGTACCTCCGCCATAAAACCCGAGATGTCCTGTAATATCACCAGCAAAGCAGAATCTGTCAATAATTTATGCAAATCTAAAGACTCCAAAGGTGCACTCCAATAAAAGTCCCAGTACATACTAATGTCACATCTGCGTATCTAATGGATTTTGCAGAATAAAGAGAGCAATGCGAGAGTCAGACCTGCAGCGCGACTCAGGAAAAACTAAATATGACCGCAGAATGTAAGTCCCCCACCCATGATGTAAGTCAATCTGGTACCCGCGTAGACAGTACTTCCTAAGCACGAACTGATACTAGCCCCTGCTGCTACAACGCATGTTGGCAGAATAACGTTGCCAACGAAGCCCAGGGAGACCGGAATGGCCATTTCCGACTTATTAGCCGTCTTCAGTCAACCAGACCTTTGACCGAGGCATTCTCCCCTCTGGTTGGAATGTGTCCTTTTCAAAGAAAAATCTCCTGTTAAGATACATATTAGTGACAATTTAGTACCACGTTTTCTTTAAGGTTAGCTATTGCATGTACCGTTTGCAATAGGTTTTCCAAACACCCCTCTAACCACTGCGCCCAACCAGTAACCGCACAGCGGCGCATGATATATAGACAGAATAGCATTACCGACAAAGACAAGGGAGACTGGAATGGCCAGTTCTGGCTTATTAGCCGTCGTCAGCCAGCCATACCCAAGCCCGAAGTGTGGAACACCCGAGCCTCGAACGCGCGACCTGTTGGTTTAGAAGTCAGCGCCTCTACCCACCGGGCCACGAGCCCGTCGCCTTGTCGATTTTCGATCGGGAATATACAATGTTAGGGGGCGCTCACCGATCGTTGATACGGAACTCACTCGTTCCGTTGTGCCTTATGGACTCTCTCTCGAGCCCAACCAGCAGCCGCACAGCGGCGCATGATATATAGACAGAATAGTATTACCGACAAAGACAAGGGAGACTGGAATGGCCATGTCTGGCTTATGAGTCGTCGTCAGCCAGCCATACTCAACCCCGAGGTGTGGAACACCCGAGCCTCGAACTCGCGCCATAGCTCAGGGAGGACGAAGAATCGCCTGACGTAGTCAATTAGGACGACGGTTATAGGATGAAATTACCGGCAAAGCCAAGGGAGACTTGAATGGGCATTTCCGGTCTGCCGACCGTCGTCAGCCAGCCATACCCGGACCCCGAAGTGCGCGACACCTGGGGCCCGATCCCGCGACCTGCCGGTTAGGTGTCCAACGTCCCTCTACCATTGTATATTCCCGATCGCAACCGACAGGACAACGAGCCCTTGGCTCAGTGGTTAGGCCGATGGACTTCTAATTAACAGGTCGCAGGATCGAGTATCAGGGGTTGCAAGACTTGGGTTTGGGTGTGGGCGACTGAAGACGGCTGATAAGCCAGTCTCCCTTTTCTTTGTTGAGTCTCGAAACACAAAGCAGGACGTGTGTCGCATATCGCGATCGGCGAGCGCCTCTCCAGGCACAACACATGTTCCTGACATGTTAATCGCGTTAGGTTGCATGTTCCCGCAGTAGGTGCGTGTGCTGGGGCCGACAATTTAGGACAAATTGCAGCCCTGGAAAAGCCCGCGTCTCGAGTGAAGAACCGCTTCCTGTCTTGATATGCCAGTCTACGCACTTAACGGAGAGAGGGGGCGGTATGGACATGGTGAGCGGAGGTAGGACATTCAAGGAGTAAACTGATCCGTGCTTGCTAGATCTCGGACGCAGGCGGGGGAGGAACGACTAAACCTCTCGGGGTGTGCAGAGCCTACCCGCAGGAGAGTCCCACTGTTTTTCGACACCGTAATCTATAGAATACACACCGGCTGAGCCAACGCACCCCTGTACTCCATGGGTTCGCCTGACTGGACACATTCCCTAGCCCAATATATAGTTCGAAATACGCGATATGGTTGGAGGTCCCGGGGATGGTTGAAAGGCAAATGGCGGCCAGTATTCATTAGGCACTACACTGATGAAAGAGACGTTTCCGCCTCGTGTGCCATCGTCGGCCAGCCAGCCCACAAAAGCCACCGGGCCCCGGCTCCGAGGAAAGACAAGGACCCTACACAGGTAATTAACCGAAATATGCATGCTTCACAGACGCCGCTGCACGTCAACATACGAATGTCCAGGAAGGAACTCCCTGTACATTTCTGCCGACTGACTTTAAAGTGACAAAATCGAACCTGCATTCTCAGAGTGAACAGGAATTCGGGATTTCACCAGGAGAACCTTTTTCTAATAATCTAAGTAACGTCGACGTGACCTGAAGAACCTGACCTACACAGTAAACAAGCACACTTGTTGAAAGAACACGGCCTTGACGGACACAGTCTTCGTTTAGCAGGGAGTCACTTCCACGTGTGACAGTAGTCTAGGGTGGACGTTAAGGCAGCTGATCGGCCGGTAATCGAGCCGCTCTTGTCAAGCCCAACCACAGTCGAGGGAATCTGGCACTCTGGGAGTCAAGAAACCCCATAAAACCACAGCTCGCTAGTAGTTGTGTGCGTCCCTTCAGCTCCTGAATTCGACGGCGATCGTTTTTATTCATCTTTCCAAGACATCATGTCAAACTTTTATGATTATGTCAAACGGCGGCCGGTTAAGCATCGCCGACTGGCGTGCAACATTCATCACGCTGTAATATTTGTACGGCCCCTGACCTCTTATAGATAGCCGATTTGCCAGATTAATGTACTCATTCGTCAAAACTGGGAGCCATTTCCGTTTTCTTGCGAATCCAGTAGGTAATTGGAGAAAACGCAGTAAAGAGGGACTTTACTGTTCACCGTTTATGTCATACCCAGATTATCATCGTGTCAGTATGGACTATTTGCTTATTGCTCGCATGTCGGCATGGACGGTCGGCAAGGAATAATGTCAAGTTTCCGTGTATGTTACTGAAAAACAGACAGTAGGCGTTATTTATGCATTCAAAGTATAATGTACAAGAGTTTGTGTACAGTGGGGGAGGGTGGAGGGGGGGAGAGGGCTGGATCGATCAGGACTTTACCGAGCCCGCCACCTTTGGGGCTCGTCGCCGGCGCATAAAGTTGAGAAACTCTAACGCGTCCTTGTAGTTGCGATGCATTTGACTTACACCAAATGCGGGGTTCAAGAGGAAGTCGTCGAATCTGTCGTCCTCCTCTCCATCCTCAGTTGCGACCCACTGTAAATGAGGATGAGGAAGTGAGGAAAGTCACCCAGAATTTAAAAAAACAAAATGGAATGTCAGAGGAGCCAAACTTACCAGGTCCTTGAGTTTCTCCAGATTGCTCTCCCGTTTCTTCCGTTTCAAAAGCAATTTTTTGCGCTAAAAGACAACGCGGGGGCAGGTCTCAAAACTTAACTATGTAATATAATGCAAAAGCAAAAATGAAACCTCCTGAACTCCAGGAGTAAAGATGCAACTTTAGGCATTTTAAGAGCGACCATATAAAAAATCGAAACTGTAAGACGGGACATGATTCCAACCTACCTGTAGACTCTTCCTCCGCTTCTTCCTTTCCGCCGGGTCGACCCCATCCTCCCGCATCCCTTTTCGTTTTTTGTGCTGACGGTTCCCATCACTGTCTTCACTATCTGACATGCGAGTTTCCATGTCAGCAAAGTCCAAATCGTCGTCCGAATCCGCCTCCGCCTCCTCCTCCGCTTCGCCCTTCCTACTAACTTTACGTCGTCCGCGTTTGAGAATGAGGGGCGGTCTACGGTCGCGGACGCCGAGGTCCTCTGTAAGATCGTACTCCTCCTCCTCCTCTCTCCCAGATGCATCGCCAGGTGCGTTCAAGTCGATGACTTCCTCCTCCTCCTCCTCCTCCTCGGCCTCATCCTCTTCATCTAGCTGATCGTCTCCGTCGGCAGTGGTCGCAGCGTCCTGGCCAATAGCGGCCAACAGGGCAGTACGAAGTTGGTCCGGGGGGACCCGCGGAGGACGGTGTTTGTGGATGCGCGGCACAGTGGGAGCTGGACCCGGCTCATCAACGTCCGAGGGTGCGGCCGTACTCTGACCGCTGGAGGAAAGAGCCAGGTATTCTCCCAGCTGAAACAAGAAGCGAATCATCAACTCTGTGACGTACTCGGCAGCCGCACATACAGTACCTGTGCTAACTCATGAAATGCCGAGGTCAAAATTAGAGTGGAAACTGTAGCGTACTTTTGGTGTTGTTATTTGTGTTTATTTAGTTGAAATAAGGACAAAAAGGCCGTTTGCTGAAGGAAAGTTTGATACGGATCTGCGATGAGGTTTTATTTTTAGACAAGCCTACGAAATCGCTCCAAACCGTCATATGTGGAAAGAACTTCCCAAGAGAACGCACTACCCCGACGGCAACACTCAAGAACTGTCAGCGGATGATGGTTTGGATGGCGATTAAATTCGGTGAGCGGCCTGTCTGGCGGTCAACATCCGACACCATCAACAGCAAGGTGTTTATTGCAATTGTCAAGGATGCTTTCGGCTACAACGGCATAAGTCGGCGCCGAATGGATACTGTAATTTTGCAGGACAATGTACCTGTCCACCGCTCTAAAAAGGTACGAATTTGATGCCGCTTGCAAATATAATCTAACATTTTAGACAACAACCACCCTCTCCGCAATTGGCCTCCAATCCATTTTCATCCCGGCCAACAGTCCCGATTTGAATCCTATCAAAAGTCTTTTTTGAATAGTCAAAAGAAATTGGCGCAAAGCTAAGAAGTCTTTTTCAATGCAGGACAAATTGGATTTCATACTCAATAATTACATTTTACAATCCACCATAGATAACCTCGTCATGTCTATGTCGGACAGACTTTCTGCTGTTACTAATTCAAATGGACAATCAACAAAGTACTGATTTTTTGTATCTGTTTCTGTCCTTAATTATTTTCGCCCTTTTATGCGCCGTCCACCTTTATACGCCCTCATACGTAGCCTTTATTAACTTAGTTGTAATATAGGTGTTTCTCGAAAATGTGACTTTTGTCGAAAATTATTTATTTTTATCTCAGTAAATAATATTTTCTAAACCAAACTTTGTTTTATTTCTTTGACACATCTTTTATTTTCCGCTATCAGACTTTGGGAGCCGCAGTGTTTACCGATTCTGCGTTAAAGTCGTTTATCTGTGTTAATTTATGACATTTCATGAGTTAGCACAGGTACTGTACAGTCTTGTCAGGGAGCAGCTACCGGAAGCTCATGTCATTGCAAGCTGGCTTTCGGTCATGAAATGTCAACCTAAATTCCGAAATGCGTTTTCGTTTCGAAAAGATTAATTAAATAGGGTTGCACAACTGATCATCCTGCAGCATAATTAAATAATACTACTGTTACCTGGGGATGCCGGCTTTCGAATGAACTTCTTTTCGGCTGCATGCAAAAACTGCAATCTGCAAAAAATGACTGCTTAAGTAGAATGCATTTTTCTCATTTATCTTCGATCCCCCTAAATGTCCAATTATATTTCCCGGAAAACACGCATGAAAATATTCATTCTTTTGCTCATTCGGTAGACAATCACGTCTTCTTTCAATTTCCTGCTCGAAGAAAGGGCATAATACGGTTTTCAGAAACTTTTCCAATCCCCGAATAATTTTTAATCCGCTCTACCGTTACACTTGGACTCGGGGTTTCCAAACTACAGGCCGTATATTTTCTACGAACGGAAGACCACACATTTCTCTACGGTAATAAAGGGGGGACCATATAAGGTTCTTAAAATGTAGCAGTGGATTTGATCCATATTGTTAACTTTACAAGCCACATTGGTAAAAGCAGAGACATGACGGTATTTAAAAGTCCCACAATGAGAAACTTTTTTAAAACCGAATTATGTCCCTCCTTTGAGTATAAAATTAGAAAAAGACATAATTTTCTACCGAGTGAGCAAAAGAATGAATATTTTTATGCATGTTTTCCACGAAATATGATTGGCTTTTAGGGGCGTCGAAAACCAATGAAAAAAATTCATGCTACTTATTTAGTCATTTTTACAGAGTGTAGTTTTGCAGGCAGGCGGAAGGAAGTTCATTCGAAAGCCAGCATCCTGAGGTAACATAATTATCATAGAATTACTATAGAATTATAGAATTATGTTGCTGGCTGACTAGTTTTACAACCCTACTTAATTAATTTCTTCGAATCGGAAACGCAATTCGGAATTTCGGTTGACATTTTATGAACTAGCCCACCTACTGCAGGTAAAAGCTCATGCCATTGCAAGCTGGCCCTCGGTCCGTAGGCCAGAGTGATCTCATCATTTGGGGGTCCACCAAGCCACGACATTTAGAACATCCACCCGACACAGGAACAGCGGATGAGAAAGAGCGTGTCAGGAAGAACGACAAACAAATCGATCATCCATCCGACGATGGGCAGCCAGCCAGGTTGTCATTGCTTGCTTAAGTAAATCTAGTTGATGCGAGTAATGATCTGTGACGCTGGAGCCGGAGACTATGCGTCCCGTTGGGAGAAATTCATGAGATAGGCCTCTTGTTATATTCACCCATATTCACTTTATCGGAAAGTGGTTCAGTCCAAGAAAGTCAGCACCTATCTGGGTTTCTGAGAACTCCTCTGCCCCCGGTTGTAGCAGCATCCGACTAGGACACGGGTGCAAGTGTGATCATGTCCGATTTGGCCGGTCTTGGTGGTGGCGCAGATTATACACCTCCACGTGTGACGATTCTCCGCGAGATCTGGCTCTCCACGACAGTGATCTTGGACTTCACGCCTAGATCCTCCCTAATCCCATCCAAAAGACGATACTGATTAGTCAGATTCTGGCAGAATGGCGAGGATCGGTTCCACCGGTCGCCCTCATGACCGCTAATGTCTCTCCGCCTACTTCCTACGTCCCTGATCCTGCCCCGATCATGCTCCTACTCCGTGAAAAACGCGTCTCTAACCGACTCAAGCTGTCTACGGCGAATATCTAACGGTGCATGATGATATTCAGGCAGAAGCACGTTCAGCTGTTGGTTGACGTTTTGCTGGTTCAATTGCGAGTAAAAAAGTTAGCGGAAAGACCGCATATTCACACGGTGACTGAGCCTGACCAAAGAGGGGAAAACCAGTGTTATTGCGCGACTTTCGCAGCGCTAGGCATCGGGCGCAACGGGTATATAATGGTGATCTGACAGGAAATCGAGATTCTCAATCAATGAAGAATTCCGAAAGTCACTTTGCCTCGGTTTAAACATGCAGATGTAGCGGACAATTGATAATAGGTCGCTGATCTAGCTTCGACTAATCGCAATAAACAACAGGATGCAGATGAGAAAGGATGGTAGTGGTTGGAGACATAGGCGTGAGGAAATACGCCGGTTGCATGCGGAAAACAATGTTTTATCCTGAGATGGATGAACTTTACCTCATCCTTGCGTTGAGTGAAGGTTGTTTTGGGGTCATTTGATGCCTCAAATTGCTCCCGAAGCCACTCGGTGCGAGCTGCGGGGGTTTTATCCCATGTCAGGGTGATGCGTGTCGAATGCACTGCCGGGGTCTCGAAGGCACGAGGGACAAACTTGGTTTTATTCACCTCGCAACATTCGGTCACCAGGTGAGCCCATTCAGGCGGGACCTAGTTAGTCAAAGAAAATTCGAATTAAAAGAACAGAGTTGGTGACAGTGGTGGTGGTGGTGGTGGTGGTGGTGGTGGTGGTGGTGGTGAGTATCTTAAGTCGACTGTGTATGATCAAGGCGGAAAACAGCACTCACTGAAAATGTTTCACTGTCGTCCACAAATCGTAGATCGAATCGGATGCCTGTGCTGCCATACTCAACACCGTCACAGGCCTCGTAGACTGCAGCCGCCGTCTCCACAGAGTCAAACTCGGCAATCGCGTAGAAGTACTTCAGGCGATTCACTTGGTAGCGTCGCAGCCGACGACGCTGGCTAACCGAGGTTCGCCGCCAGGCCTTTCTTTCGTCTGCGTCCATATCACCGGGTAATGGTTCCTCATCTTTATCCATCTCCTCCTCCTGCCCCTCATTCCTTGATCCACTGACTTTCTTTTTCCCGTGTTTCTTTCTCTGTGGCTTCATTGAATGGTTAACTGGCTGATTGTTTTGCTCTCCATTCTCTTCTTCGTCAGCGCTTTCAGCTGAACCGGTGGAGGAGCTCTCCCAAAGCTCCCTAGGTCCGTGCTCCTCTTCCTCCTTCATTCGTTTCATGCCGAACTCGGAGGGGTAGATCTGCAGTAACCAGATGGCAGAGCGTGAAGTTAGGTCTCGATATAACGGCATGCAGCGAGGGAATAGTGGCCATAATAGTAATAATAGCAGGAGGAGGATGAGGAAAAGGGATAGGAGGAAGAGGAGCAGGAGGAGGAGGAGGAGGAGGAGGAGGAGGAGGAGGAAAGAAACGACTTTTTGGCGAATATTAAACAAATTGTAATACATAGTCTCCAGGCACTCACCGTTACTTTTTCGAGAGTTGCACCCGGTGGCAGGAAGGATTCAAGGGCCAGGAATATGGCCTCAACACTAGCGTTATCCCAGTCAAAGTGAAGCAAAGCCAGGCGGCGAGAGAGGGTCTCAGTCTCCTTGGCACCCTGAACTAGGGCGAACCAGTCGGCATCTGCGCAAAAGATGCGTACATAGTTACAAATGTCGGGCAGAAGTGTAGATGTTTGAGTTGCTACTCACAAGACCGTAAGGCAGTCGGCTGACCGTCACAGACAGAATTTGAGAGCGAAAAGTTTAGTCATAAAATGGATAAATGCAAAAATCCCAACTACAACAGGAGGACGTAAATCTCTCAGGATTGCAATGTAATTACGGAAGGCCTATACCGCGTTCTACCCAGTCTGACAGTCTGACTCTGCCTAATGGCAGTGTTATAAGGGTGTCCTACTCATTTCCTGTCCCGATCGCCTGCTCCCTTTTAATAGCGCGAAGACAGTTGGAGCGGATCACAGAATCAAAGCCATCAAAACAAACAGAAGTGTCGGTGGGTGGGTGGTGACATTTTCAGGTCCGTGGACAGCTGCCGCCTAGGGATTGAAGGTTCTGCCAAGGATACAACCAAACACCAGTCAATCGGGCACTTGTAGTCGATGTCTTTGAGATCGTTGTCGTCGTGAGATTAAACTACGAGTATACCAAGCTCTCCTCAAAATGAGCCTTCAATACGAGGGATCAAAGGGTGCCAAGTGCACCTGCGATCTGTCCTCCGGTTCCGTCTTACTGATCGCGCCTTCAAAGACCGGTTATGTGCTCGGTCAGGAAGTCAACACGTCAACGGTGCCCTCCTTATTGGACGACTGAGATGGCTCAGTCATGTGTTGGGCTGACTCGACAACGAAGTAGTCCAGGATTTCATTTCCCCCGAACACCGAGATGGCCAACTGAAACCGTTGGTGGGCGCGATGGAGGCTGAACACGAGTGAATTTCTTAACTTGCCCATATTCAGTCTTTGCTCAGAGATCCGCCGCCAATCGACTGCAGTAGGCAGGTGATCGTGATGCGGTTAGCTTGTGAATGCTGTCAAAAGTGCATCACTACCAACTACTGCCTACCGTTGGTCACGATGAAGCGAATCGAGCAGTTGTGGAAAGTCATGAAACGGGCGGTAACCAGCTACTCTGGTCAAGAGGGTGAAACTCGAGTGGGCAAAGAGGAGTTACGGTGTGGTTAATGTAACCTACGCATCTTCGTTAGCCAGCTGTGCTATGGCATCTCAGGTCACTCGGAGTCTTCCCATATAGGCAGTTGCAAGGAGCTTGGTAATGGTGTCTCCTAATTGGGTAGCATAAATTATTGCGCCGTCTCTTTTCATCTTCCTCGAAGTGCATACCAGGAACATTTTCTCCGCCAAAAACCGCGCTAGGGTAATGCCTCCGCGCTTATACATCTCAGCAGATGTTTTGCCATCGCTGATAGAGCTTTATCGTTTTGCAGACTCCCAATTACCACTGTAAATCCTCGCGGAAATGTGGGCACCAGAATGTTAGAGGAGCTCTCAACGTGGATGAGGGTTCCCAAGTGCTTGAGTTGAAGTCTCGATGAGTGAGGATTTTAGGGGAAACGCTTCCGAAGCTATCACCAACGGCAGAGAAGTGTGCCTTTAAAATGTTGGCAATCGCTCCGTTCATTGGCTGCCCAGGACTCATTAAAGCTTGACATGCGGTTAGAACACTATACGAAGGACCCAAACCTTTTACTCCTCCCGCCAGCGACAGTCTGGAACGTCCACCCCCTCTTAGGTTATTGAACTGCCGACCGAAGAGAGGGGAGGGCTATACTGGTCGCACGAGAACTGCCCCATTTCAATTTGGACATCAGCGTATTTGGCGAGGCCCGCTTCTCAGAACAAAGACGTGCATTGGTGGCGGGTAAGTCTTCTTCTGGAACGGCCGTCAGAAAGGCAAGCGTCATGATTCTGGAGTCGCCTTCGTCATCGCAAAAGACTTCCTTAGTAAGTTACTATTTCCACACAGAACCAACGACCGTTTCGTTAGAACGTCTCCACCGTATAAGAAAGTTGTCACCAGTATACGTGCCTTGGTGTGCAGAATGACGCAACGGAGAAGTTCTACAAAGATCTGCACGTCTACCTCGTGCCCGTGCCGAAGGCGGACGAAAAGACTGTCCTCTGTGACTTCGGCACCCGAGTAGGCTCAGAAATGCTTGTTCGTCACAGGGAGGGCCACAGAACACAATCTCCCGATCATCAACACCATCTTTCGGCTCTTAAAACGCAAAAATACAACATGAATGGGCCCTCGACCACGCCAGTCGCAACTGTCGGACAATGAACTTGTCAGAAAGTGGGATCGTCGTAAGGTTGCCATGACAAAAGCATAGTGCGTACCGAACGCCGGACCGATCACCGTCTGCTCGTCCCAGGAGACTGGGTTTCAGGACGAGAAGCTATCAACAGAGCTGAACATGACAGTACTTTAGCCTGATGAACGCAGAACGGAAGTCTTTAGCAAAGCGAAATACAGCGAAGGATATCTGAGGAAGTTCAAGTCCATAGGACTTCCGTGAAGAGTAACACAGCTCGAGATGGGGCCGCGTTCTTTCAATGCCGTCGGCAACAGCAAATGAGACCGAGAGATGTGCAGCACGGCTGGATGTGTCTGTAGGAGACAAGCTGGAGTGCAGTTCCAGTGAAAAAGCCCCGGTCGCAGACTAAGTTCTAAATACAAATACGGTGGTCGTTTAGGTGTGTAAACGTTCATCTCACTGGTGCGGACGATATTTCGACGAAGTAAAAACCTCGCACGATACCTAGGACGCAATTACTGGTAACCTAAACAAACGACATCGTAAACGGCGAGTGATTAGATAGCAGCACGACGAAATACATCAAGGGCACTAAAAGTTGCGAATCGGAATTCTTCCAACTGATGGGACAAGTCGTTTATCCTTTGGAATGAGTCAGACCGCAGTGGCTTTAATGACTTCCCTCACTCATGTAATCTCCAAGCCTGTGGTACGCGTTGGGCAACAACTTCAAGTCACATCATCCACTGTGCCTAAACTTACAGGTCAGTGAAGAGGAAAGACGTGGGGGCGGTCCAAATCGGATCATACACTTGGTTTCTTCACTGCGAACAACCACACAGGCCTGGAAACTATCTGGACGTACTACCAACTGGGGCGTGAAAGATCCCCAGTTAGCAGGATAACTCAGTCCTCCAATGGAAGGGAAAAACGGCAGTGGCTTCTTACTGTGGCTTTTATGACACTTCTACTCCCGTGAGATAGATGGCCCCCTTCTTAGGGCCTGGCACTTGTGGAGTCAGGGGTAGGTCGTTGCGTAGCAAGCGCACACAATCACTGGACCTGACCTTGCCCTGCCATTGGAACGGGGTGGGCATGAAAAAGGGTCGAAGTGATGTAACTGATGTTTCGGTCTAAATTATTATAAACAGATCGTTGCTGCGCCACAAACGGAACAATAGTGGTCGATACAAGCAAGAATGCGAGTTCCATGAGGTGGTTTTATAGAAGGTGACTCGGTCGCAGAGATAGGAATTTTGTTCGCCTGAATCTGTAACGTTAGGAGAAGAAAATTCTTTTTTCTAACAATCAAGTCTCCTTCCCAAGAGTGGTGTTCTTCGTCGCTTGCGGTGGACGAAATATGGGACCCACGAAGAGGGCGGTACCGATGTGTCAGAGCTAAAAAAATGGGGTCAACATTCTGTTATCAAACAAGTGTCTGGGGGAAATTTGCCTGTGGCGATTGAGTGGCCAGTACGTGTGACACGCGAAAAAGGCAGCGAGTCCCCGACATCTATCTTTAGTCATCTTGGCTTAGTCTTGCCAGTGGGCCAGTGAGTGGACCTTAGTGAGATTGGAAAATTAATGATGCCATGTCTGTATAAGTCCTTCTCAGTACATGTGGAGAGAGTTCAAACAATTAAGACGCCGTATTTTGTATGGTTACGAACCGGAAAGACATATAACCCAACAGACATTCAAACTGCCACGGTTTCCCAATATGGCTTTTCGAACAACCCTGATATCTAAAACGGAGCATGTAGTCTGGTTCGGTTAACAAGTGAAAACAGAAAGAATGAAACTGGAATATATGGATGCAATATTTGTGACCAGTCGGCATCAAGACGCTAAGACAGACAACTAATTAAGTCGTCAATCAGGTTGGGTAATGGAATAACGTACGGAAATAATTCAGTAGCATGAACACGTTTTACTTTTCATGCCTCATGGGTATTTTGGGTCTCCTTCAGTTCAGAAAACCGTCACAGTCTATCAGCACACAGTATTAACTGCGACTGGGAGGTTAGAAGGGACAAAATACGTGCCCACACAATAATACAGGCTGTAACTTTGCTTTTAAATAACGATCAGTCAAAAGTTGACAGACGTTCAATATCCCTCACAATTCAAGTGGTCAAAGATAGACAGTGTGTTGGACGCCTAAATATGTCTCATAGACTGTTTACTTTTGTAAAACATTAAAATTTTGACTCATTATAGTACCGCAACTTGAAGTGATACCAAGTGGCTGATAGGCATGTCGAACAAGAGAGTTAAGATCTGTCTAGTTAAAGAAAATTTTGTAAAAACTAGGAATATCCCACAGTTCCTTACAAGCCAATGACGGCACATAAGGTGGATTTAGAGAGGGACATGGTGTTAAAATGGAAAGACAAAACTCATGAATTAGAAGAATAAATGATAAGAAACTATCCACGTACCCTGAATGTCGGCGAGGCGTTCGGTGACATCTTCGGAGGAGCTGTCACTTTCACCTTCATCTGATAATTCAGATGCCGTACTGGACTCTTCTTCGCTAGAGGCCTCCTTGGCCAACAACTGCTTCGCATATCGAACTGGTTTCTTTGGCCATGGACGACCCCTTTTATCTTTAAACGCAGTTTCTTCTTCAACACCACTGAAAAGACTTTGGAGGGCTTTCTTGTCCTTTTTAGATGTTTTTCTAAGCTTTCCGGCAAACCTGGGATCCCTAGAAATTTTATCGAGTTCCCCTTTCTCCATGATCCTCAAACACGCACATGCGGACTATACGCACACCCAACGACACCTTAATTAAATTAACGCCTACTATGGTATCCGAGTTAAGCTCGGGAACATCAGCTTGTGAGAATCCGGGTCTACAAACTTAGTTCCAAGCTCGTGTATTCCCAAAAATAATACGATATTCATGTTTAAAGATCCACAACAGCATAATACGCCTATCAGGCACCGGAAAAAATTGGCTGAAAAATTAGAAGGGGAAGGTCATCGGATAACGCAGTAAGCAAAATAAGTCGCGACCATAAGGATCCGCCTTAAGCGGGGAGGAAATGAAAAACTGATGTAGCATCATTACGAGGGCAGGAAAATAGGCCACAGAAAATAAGTTTGGTTATTAACCGCCCACTTTAGACAGAACTTTTCTTGTCTTTCCAGTGTTTCGCCTCTCGAGTGAGCGGTGGACTCATGCATTGGAGAAGGAGGAAAAGAAGAGGAAGGGGGTGGCAGGGTTTACGTCATCTATGCTGACTTCAGAAGATTTTCGATAGTGCTCTACGCAACGTCTAGAATGAAATATAACTGTCATATTAAACCATCTCTTGAGCGCTGTCAGGCTCAATCACATAAATACTGAAATTGGAATGAAAGAAGAGCTGTTGACATACGTCACAGAATTTCTTGCAGAGAGATCGCAAACAGGACGTGGTGGTGCCTCGACGTCAACTCTTGCCCCCCTCCCCTAATCTTTAATTGCTGTCACCCACGCCCGGTCCTTGGACCGTCTCTCTGACTAATCTACATCAACGAATGGGTCAACAACCTGAGTTGCAGCACTGTCCTGTGTGCCAGCGATGTCCAACTCTGGAGAGTCAGCAGGTCTTAAGTAGATGGGCACACAATTCCAGATATTCCTGACTGACTTAATATCTGGTCTGTTCGTCAGCCTGCAAATTTGATGTCGGCAGGTGTTTGGTCCTAACACTCCATAGCACAAAAACGAACGAGGAAGGTGATCCTTTGATACCTTTTGGATGGACAACCCCTTTCAAATGCTGAGGAAATAGGGACTTCGGTGTTCTAATGAATATTTTGCTTAAACCATCGTCACAGTGTTTGAAGGTCACTAAACGAGCGATGTAGATATTATTTGGTCTGAGACGAGCACTTGTTCAAATTGATAATGAACTGTTCGATAGAACCTATGGGGCACTCCCTCGGTCTCACTCGGAGTATGATGTACAGATCCGGCATCCTTGGTTACAGAGGGATTACCAACTACTGGACTGAGTGCATACGATGGCTACGAAGATGGTGAGGAAAGCGGGCATTCAGTCATTCGAAACAACGGCACAATGAGCTAATTTAGACTTTCGGGATTTTCAGAGGCTGGATATGTGTCCTACAGGTCGACAACGTCTGTGGACTGGCTGGGATACACCAACCGCATGTTAACCTCTTTAACCTATAGAAGAAGTTAGCCGTTATGGAAGTCCGTCGGAACGCCTTCTCTCCGGCCTGTTGAAGCCTGGAACGAGCTACCTGTTTTGGTGATGTTTACTGACAATGTTGGGACATTTAAATTGGGACTTGACGTTCATTTCCTGAGAAAATACAGTACATATAATCACTATTGCATCGGTGACGGTGGTTTGCGCCCCGCTCGCATATACCGATTTTACACCTTCCCAAATTATTGCTGTTTAAATTGATCTTGTTGAGGTATCTTCTTTCCGGTACCTAGGTGTTACTTTATCCTCAAATCTCTCTTTCTCTCTTCATATGGAAACCCTTTTAACAAAAATTCAAAAACTTGTTTATTATATTCGTCGTCTACGTTCATATCACACACCCCAGTCCTTAATCTGGCGATTCATAGATGGCTGCATTCTTCCACTCATTCTTTATTGTTCTCCAGTTATTTTTCCAGCTTTACTTAAAAAAGATCTAATTATTTTTAAGCGTGTCATTCGAATGCTCGCCTCTGCTGCTGGTGTTTCCTATCATCTTTTAGTTGATATCATCGTGCAGCGACATTTCAACTCGGTGGAGCAATTCGCTGACCGAATTCTGAATGACACCGTCCATCCCCTTCATAATGAGTTAATGGCTGCGAAATCCTTACGCCCCACGCGTCGATGCTTCCGCCACATCCCTTGCCGCACTTCGGCCTATCGGAATTCCATACTGCTATTTCTAGTCCGGTATCTCACCTGCAAAGATGCTGAAAAACAAAAACTAAAACTCGATCTTGCACCTTAAAGTCCTTTTTTCTTCATATATAATCATGTCCACCTGTCTGTCCAAAAACCTGTTAATCTCTATGGTAATCACTGTGTACTGGAGAACCGTTTTTGCTGAAAGTTTTGAAAGTTATTTTCAAAATAAAGCAGTCCTCTCTCTCTCTGTTTAAGAGAGGGGGAAAGAAATGCGCCTTATTTCGATAGTATCTTCCAAAATTTTTGGAAAAAACACCTGCCATTCATCATAGATAAATATGGATTTGCAAAATAAATGGCACTGAAAGATTACATAGGCGATAGTAAGCTGCCAAGTACAGCTGTCGATATCGCGGCCAATCGCCAGTGCAGTCGGTGCAACATCTATGTTAGTTTTTGTTTTAGAATAGAATAGAATAGGTTTATTGTAGCGCCCCTTGGGCACTGTCAGTCCCCTTTGAACTCAGGAAAAAAACCTAAAACAAACTCGTCAATTTCAACTGCACTTTGACTTCATTTGCTTCGGGTGTCTGGTTAGCCAAAAGAGCGCGAATTGAGAGTTTGTTTTAAGTTAAAAAAAACCTCAGTTCTAAGGGAAAATAATAACAAAAGTTTCAAAAAATAACGATATGTACAATATAAAAATTGAAGTTTGCAGTTTGGTAGTTTTCGGGGGCATGAATAATATGTCCTTCATGGCAATTGAAGAACTTTGATATCGGCCTGACCTTGAAATTATTTTCCTGTTGGGTAAATTTCGGTTTGCTCTAGTTGTTGGTTGTCAGTCTGTGGTATGACAGAATTGAACTGATCCGTCCTTTTGTTGTTTTACGAAGGTCCCTGTTTTTCTTCTAAGTTTCAGAATCGACTGGCGAGAACCGGATCCCAACCCCTGTAGCAGCCTCCAGCTCTACACTCCCCCTTGTGCAGCCAGATACTGCACCGAATTATTCTGTCAGAGAGACATCCATTGACTAACGCAATCAAGGAGTCTGCCACACCCCTGTACCTCCCTTTCTCCGTGTTACAATTATTCGATTACAATAAACGGTTCCTTGTATCACTCCTGCTGACGATTGTTGCTGGATTACTTGTTATCATGTCGTCTGGGACACGGAATCAATCCATTGACGAGCCCTTCTCAGTTGGTCGTCCAGCGAAGGACTACGAAGGCACCGGCGATCTGAAGCCCCTACAGGACGAGGACAAGCTGGGTATTACATTGGCGGCAGCGGTGCTTCCGACTTCCACTCCTCACTATTGTGTCAACCCCCCTTCTTATTCCAATCTCCCCTTGAAATTAACAGCGTTTGACGAGAAAGAGGATTTTTCAGCCTGGCTCCGCCGCTCGCAATTTCATGTTGGTGTAGTCCCCACCGACAAACAGAGCATGGCAATTTTACAGTGCCTGACTCCCAACCAGTTAGACAGGGCGTTGGATGCCGGATTGTCCGCCGAGACTCCGATTAGCAACCTATGTCAGGAGTTGGAGAAACTCCTTAAACCCACGATGTCAAAAACCGAGGCACTAAACCAATTGTATTCACGACGACGGCGAATTGGAGAAACCGCCAACGAGTTTGCGGACGAGTTATACCGACTGTGCAAATCGGCATACTCCTCCATCTCCCAAACGGATTGCAGCGATGCCGTACTGTATCACTTTATTAAGTATATAGAACCTCCAGAACTACGGCGTTCACTCCTCCTACAACCGCCCCGCGACTTAAAGGAAGCCATTGACCGCGTCAACATATATGC